CTGACAACCACACTGCCACTACTGACAACCACACTACCGCAACTGACAACAACACTGCACTACTTTCAACCACACTGCCACTACTGACAACCACACTACCACTACTGACAACCACACTACCACTACAGACAACCACACTACCGACACACTACCACTACTGACAACCACACTCCACTTCTGACAGCCACACTACACTACTGGAACCACACTGCACTACTAACAACCACAATACTACTACTGACAACCACACTACACATGCTGACAACCACACTACCCTACTGACAACCACACTACCACTTCTGACAACCACACTACTACTACTACTGACAACCGCACTATCACTACTGAGAACCACACTGCCACTGCTAAACAATACCACTACTGACAACCACACTGCACTACTACCACTACTGACAGCCACATTACCACTGCTAACAAGCACACTACCACTAACAACCACATTAACACTGACAACCACATTACCACTACTGACACTCTACCACTACTGACAACACTACCACTACTGACAACCACACTACCACTACTGACACCCACACTATCACTACTGTGACCCCCACTATCACTACTGACAGCCACACTACCGCTACTGGCAACCACACTACCACTAACAACCACACTATCACTACTGACAACCACACTACCACTACTGACAACCACACTGCCACTACTGACAACCACACTACCACTACTGACAAGCGCACTACCGCTACTGACAACCGCACTACCGCTACTGACAACCGCACTACCACTACTGACAACCACACTACCACTACTGACAACCACACTACCACTAACAACCACGGTACCACTAACAACCACGGTACCACTAACAGCCAGACTACCACTAACAAGCACTCTACCACAACCACACTACCATTAACAACCACACTCCCACTAACAACCTTCTACCACTAACAACCACACAACCACTAACAAGCACGCTACCACTAACAACCACACTACAACTAACAACCCCTCTACAACTACTAACAAGTAAACTACCACTCTACCATTAACAACCAGTCTACCACTAACTACACTATTACTAAGAACCAAACTACCACTTACACAGACTCTAACACTAACAACAAAACTACCACTAACCACACTACCACTACTAACAGCCACTCTACCAGTAACAACCACACTACCACTCACAACCACTCTACTAACAACCACACTACCACTCTACCACTAACAACCACTTTACCGCTTCTAACAACTACCACTACTAACAACCACTTTACCACTGACAGTTACACTACCACTAACACACTACCACTAACAACCTTACTACCACCACACAGCAGTGCACCAGCACCACCACACAGTAATGTACCAGCATCAACACAAAGCAATATACCAGTATCACCACACAGTCTTACACCATCACCACCACACAGTAGTGTACTAGCATCACCACACAGTAATGCACCAGCATCACCACACAGTTATGTAAAAGTAGCACCACATATTAATGTACCAGCATCACCACACAGTAGTGTACCATCACCACACAGTAATATACCAGTAACACCACATAGTCATGCACCACCATCACCACCACACAGTAATGCACCAGCATCACCACACAGTAATGCACCAGCATCACCACACAGTTATGTAAAAGTAACACCACATATTAATGTACCAGCATCACCACACAGTAGTGTACCATAACCACACAGTAATATACCAGTAACACCACATAGTCATGCACCACCATCACCACCACACAGTAGTGTACCAGCATCACCACCACACAGTAATGTACCAGAATCACCACCACAAAGTAGTGTACCAGCATCACCATCACACAGTATATCAGCATCATCACACAGTAGTGTACTAGCATCACCACCACAGTAATATACCAGCATCATCACGACACAGTGTAACAGCATCACCACACAGTAATGTACCAGCATCACCACCACACAGTAATATACCAGCATCAACACCACACAGTAATATACTAGCATCATCACACAGTAGTGTACCAGCATCACCATCACACAGTTCACCCCCACTCAGTAGGGTTCCAGCATCACCACACAATAATGTACCATCACCACACAGTAATATATCAGCATCATCACACAGTAGTGTACCAGCATCACCACACGATAGTGTACCAGCATCACCATCACACAGTAGTGTACCAGCACCACCATCACACAGTAGTGTACCAGCATCACCACACGATAGTGTACCAGCATCACCACCACACAGTAGTGCACCAGTATCATCATCAAACAGTAGTATACCATCATCACCACCACTCAGTAGTGTACCAGCATCACCACACAGTAATCCACCACCATCACCACACGGTAGTGTACAGCATCATCACACAGTAGTGTACCAGCATCACCACCACACAATAGTGTACTAGCATCACCACACAATAGTGTAACGGCATCAAGACACAGTAGTGTACCAGTTTCATCACCACACAGTAGTGTACCAGTTTCATCACCACACAGTAGTGTACCAGTTTCATCACCACACAGTAGTGTACCAGTTTCATCACCACACAGTAGTGTACCAGTTTCATCACCACACAGTAGTGTACCAATTTCATCACCACACAGTAGTGTACCAGCATCACCACACAGTGTTTCAGCATCACCACACAGTAATGTACCTGCATCACCACACAGTAGTGTACCAGCATCACCACCACACAGTAGTGTACCAGCATCACCACCACACAGTAGTATACCAGCATCACCACACAGTAGTGTACCAGCATCATCACCACACAGTATTGTACCAGCATCATCACCACACAGTAGTATACCAGCATCACCACACAGTAGTGTTTCAGCATCACCACACAGTAATGTACCTGCATCACCACACAGTAGTGTACCAGCATCACCACCACACAGTAGTGTACCAGCATCACCACACAGTATTGTACCAGCATCATCACCACACAGTAGTATACCAGTATCACCACACAGTAGTGTATCAGCATCACCACACAGTAGTGCATCAGCATCACCACAAAGTAGTGTATCAGCATCACCACACAGTAATGTACCAGCATCACCACACAGTAGTGTACCAGCATCACCAATCAGCAGTGTGCCAGCATCATCACCACACAGTAGTATACCAGCATCACCACACAGTAGTGTACCAGCATCACCACACAGTAATGTGCCAGCATCATCACCGCACAGTAGTGTACCAGCATCATCACCGCACAGTAGTGTACCAGCATCATCATCGCACAGTAGTGTACCAGCATCATCACCGCACAGTAGTGTACCAGCATCATCACCGCACAGTAGTGTACCAGCATCACCACACAGTAGTGTACCAGCATCACCACACATTAATGTACCAGCATCATCACTACACAGTAGTATACCAGCATCACCACGCAGTAGTGTACCAGCATCACCATCACACAGTATTGTGCCAGCATCACCATCACACAGTAGCGTACCAGCATCACGAACGCATAGTGTACCAGCACCGCCACACAGTAATGTACCAGCATCATTACACAGTAGTGTACCAGCATCACCACACAGTAATGTTCCAGCATCATCACCACACAGTAGCGTACCAGCATCACCCCAGTGCCCTTTTATCACCACATAGTTGTCTTGACTTTAGTCACCTGTATGACCAGTCATTTGTATGACCAGTCACTTGTATGACCAGTCACTTGTATGACCAGTCACTTGTACTGCAGGTCACCCTTCAGTCCAGTCACCTGTTAGACCAGTTACCTGTCAGACCAGTCACCTGTCATACCATTCACCTGTCAGACCAGTCACCTGTCAGACCAGTCACCTGTCAGACCAGTCACCTGTCAGACCAGTAACCTGCCAGACCAGTAACCTGTCAGACCAATCACCTGCCAGACCAGTAACCTGTCAGACCAATCACCTGTCAGACCAGTCACCTGTCATACCATTCACCTGTCAGACCAGTCACCTGTCACACCAGTCACCTGTCAGACCAGTCACCTGTCAGACCAGTAACCTGTCAGACCAGTAACCTGTCAGACCAATCACCTGTCAGACTAGTCACCAAGCTGCACGAGACTTGGTCTGCCATCGTACCCAAATCAAACTTGTTCGTGGGCAGTGCTGTACCGGCAATTTTCATACAGAGCTTGGCGAATGGGACGAAAGGGTAGCTCCAATTCCTTAGATCAAAAACTCACCGGGATCGAAATGTCTCCCATGAAAAATCCATGACTTAAACTTTCACTGATGGTTTTAATAACAGCTCTGGAATCCAGCTTATAATGCCCAGGACTCATGTTGAGATTAAATGCAAGATAAACATTAACAGGGCCTCATTATTATTTTTTATTATTCTCCTCCTTACCTCTCATTTATCAGATACTGTGTGACCCTTGTGAGTTTAGCACTTACTAATGAATATACTACCAATAAATTATTATTTTTCAGTGATTATTTCACATGCAGAAAAATTGTATTTCCTTATAATAATTTTTCATACTCTTAAAAACAAAAAATAAATGCATGTAACTCGGTGAGTGAAAGAACGCTCAACTCCGGGGAAGAAATATGCAGGTTTTCCTTGAGCTACATTTCTCTAAGACTGAGGATCCCCAGTTGGTACTAAAGATGGTATTCTCTGTAGCTAACAGCGTGTGTGTATTGTATGTTTGTGTATATATCAAGTATAAACCTTCATTTTATGTACTGAAAACCGAAATGCTCAGCATAACCAACGGCTTTTATAAATGATGTCATTAATATCACATTTTTCTGACTCAAGTGAAAACCTAATTTTATAGAAATAAAATTTATTAATTATTTAGCATTTATTAGGCAGATAGATACCTAATACAGTACATAAAACCCATATATATTTTTTTTAATATTTATGTAAAGTGCTATGATAATATGAAAATTGGTAGTCTCTTAAAATGCTAAATATGATTCTCTGTCATTAGATAAAGAATTAATATACCAGAAGCTTAC